AAAATTTTCTTCATTGTGACATCAAACAGTCTAATAACATTTGTTTTCAAAGAAAGATTAAGGTGCTCATTACTGTGTAACAAACACAAAGGTAAAGGTTTAAATGTGCTGCAGGCTTGGCCTGTAATAATTAGTCTTGCCATCTGTGTCAGAGAGAGGCAGCCATTTATCTGGTTTTGCTCCTGCTTCAGGGTATTTCCACAAATCACAGGGTTTGTCATAGTGAAAGGGATATTATTTCATTAGTAAGCTAAAAAGTCAAAAACTTACGGTTGACTGTAATTTTAGATAAAATTCTTAATGTAACATTATTGGACTAACAACATTAATAACATTTCTCACACCAATATTGCACATTTATTTACATCTACATACATTTACACAAGAGTGTAACTTTGTGGGGACGAAGAGGAGCGGGAGGGGTGGGGGTTGTTGATTTACCCACAGTTACTGGAAGGCCTTTTCTTTTCTAGTGCTAAGAATGATGCCAAAATTTACATGTGAATGCCAGACAGTCCGACTCAATAAATTAGGATACATGTCTTGATCAGGCTTGTCAGATTAATAGTACCTTTTGAAAATTACCTTTTAGCAGGTATTAAACATACTACGAAATATAAATATGTTAAAACATATGTAATCTAATTAATCTATATAATATATTTCACTTGGTGATGGAACAGCTGACAAAGGAACTTTTCAGTCCTATTCTAATTTATGGAATCAGCCTGTATTTGCTGAATGCTTGCCTACAGTTGAAAACAGTTTCAAAACTCAGTAATATTTTTTGTTAAGAATTATCATATAGTTTCCTTTTATTGTCTGATTTTATCAAGTGCTAAAAACATCAACAACATGAGATTCTGTAACTAAATGTTAAACACTTCTGTAGCGGCTAAAATCCTATATTTTAGGCTACTGGTGGTTGTTCTTGAAAGGCGTTGGTTTTATGTGCGCTCAATTAAGATTCATGATGCCGATCTTCCGTTTGACATAAAATAAAGGCATTTATTTTCAGAACAATGTTCATTGTCTGTTTCCATTTAGATCCACATAAATTCGACATACATCCAAACCAAGCACAGTAGAAAACTATTTGCCTCTGCCTATTAACAACACCTGAACAGAATGATGGTTGACCTTAAATAACCCATCCCCCAGACACTCAGAACTCAAAATTAAATACACCCCCTGGTGACGATAAACACCAGAAAGGATAAATGGCTCCTACACGCCAGCCCCTAATTGTGTGTGGCAATTATCAAACTTAAATTAAAAGGAGCCACAAATAAAGACATATCTCCATACAAATATACATAAGAGGCAAATCAGCTTTAGGCATTCATTATTCTATCAGTTTATCAGTTTGTAGCTTCACATAATAGACAGATTTTTGTTATAGGTCTTTCAATAATGTTTGTTTTTGTTTGAAGATGAACCACTCGTACCAGACCATTTTTATCTGGAAAAGTTTTAATAACTTTCCCTAATATCCATGACCCTCGAGGTGTTGTAGAGTCCATAACCACCACCACATCTCCAGGGATGAAACATCTCCTTTTCTTTGTCCACTTTTGTCTTTCTTGTAACAACGGTAGATATTCTCGAATCCAACGCTTCCAAAAGAGATCTTCTAGAGACACACTTTGATTTCCCAGCGAGTTTTTGAGAGCTTGCATTTCCTTTGTCAACTCCAATGTTGATGTTTCAGTCGTGACTGAATTGGTCAGCTGTAATCCCTTTCTTCTCTTACTTAGTTTCAGCAGAACTCCCTTTAGCTTGAGGAACCAAGCAACTGCAAGCTTCAATTTTTGCCAGTCGGAGAAGAATGATATTAGTTGAGAAGTTGCATTTGAATTAATGACTGTAGCGTTGATCAAGGGAGTTTTCTTTAGTTCTGGGTCATCAGTAGTCATACTGAAATCCATTGGAGACTTGGACCATTTATCTTCAGGTTCCCACAAAAATGTAGGACTTTCTATCCATTTTTGGTTCAAAAGGCTGTCAACTTTAAATCCACGGGAAGCATCATCAGCAGGGTTTAAAGATGAAGGCACGTGTCTCCACTGCTCAATGTCTGTGTTCAGGGGCAGATCTAGAAAAATATTTATGGGTGGCAAGAGGGGGTTAGGGATTTTTTCAGGGGTGGCAGAAATATTGTTTTTAACTTCCATTGTTTCAAAATGAGCTTCATGTAGCACCGAGGTTTAAATACAATTTCTTAATGTAGTATAGTTAATTATTTTTACGTCTTTCATGCTCCTGCTAATAGATATGTTACTGCACCTATTAGTCACTATGTGATTCATTGTGTCCAGAAAACCATTTTATCCCAATACAGGACAAGGAGAAATCTGTCACGAAAATATTAGTAGACCAATCATTTGTTATTAGATACATCTATTAAATACAACTTAAAATAAAGATTAGAAAACTGATGTTTGATAAATTCTCCATGATGCAAATCTATAAACAGTTTAGTTTCTGTTAGTTCTGTCAAGATGCAAGAAGGGGCGAATTTCTATTTATATTGGTCAATTCGTTTTATTTTACANCTTCAACATATGTTTGCAGACTAACTAAGCAAATGAAGATGAAAGAGGAAGCCAGATCAGGTGTTAGGAAACACCTGATCTTTCCTGTCTCAGAAGAAGCTCTGACTCCACCAGATCACCAACCAGCTCTGAGGATGAACCTTCATATTGTCTTCATGATGTAAGTTTGTTTTTGTTTTTTTAATGTGGAGCTAGCTACATTTTCAACAACAAAAACGGGTGTGTTACCAACACCAAATGCTTAATAAACATGATTTGATTTAAAGATAACTGGACAGAATTTTTCCCCTTGTTAATCTAACATTTCTCTTTCATACATTTTATTTGTTGTTGGCTTTCAGGACCCTGTGATTGACTGGTGATCACAGGGTGAACCCTGCCTCTCATCTGATGACTGCTAGAGATGGGCACCACCAGCCCCCCTCACCACCCTGCAAGGATCAGTGTGTTCAGATCATGGATGGAAGTTTTTAAGGTAGTTTGTCTCCTTAAGTCCACACTTAAAACAGCTTCATAGTTCATAGTTAATGACAACATCAACTGACTATGACATTGCTAAGTATGTTTTTCTACTTCTTTTTCTACTTCTAACATAAACAGGCAAAGAAGAGACCCAGAAATGTTTTTCCAACCCAGGCATCCGGTCCCAACCATCATCAGTTCTCATGATGTCACATACATGGCGAGTACACAATGTCTTAAAATTGTAAGTATTATTTTTTTATTTGCCATTTTTCTGTTCTCTTTAAAATACAAATACTTTCTCTGTTTAATTGCTCTATTGTTCTTTTTTGTAGGTTTCTGTAAAGTGCAGTGGTGCAGTGAATGGGAATGTTCTGTCGTTGCCGTTAGGAACATACCAACAGTGTCATGAAGTGTCATTCAGTAAATAATGACATTATTAATGAGAATTTGCTTTAAAAGTTGGATGAAAGGTTTTATGTTATGTTTATGACAGTGTCGTGTCAGTCTTATGCACACCCCATCAAATAAAGTGTTACAAAAATGGTAATATATTGAAAGCACAATGTAATTATAATTTTTGTTCTTTAAAGTAATAACTTTGGTGGTTTTTTTGTCACTTAAATTTTCATGTTCATTGTGTTCACTTTTGATGTGTAAACTGATAATTTATGTAAAGTTGTGAGTAAAATTGGACAATTTTAAAATGTTGGTATTAAAACAAAATATTTGAATTACCTTGAACATTTTGTGTAATTAATCTTTCCATGTAATTGTAGCCTAAAACAATGTAAGTACTGTAGTGTACTTATGCATGTAATGTACAAAATAGGAAAGTATGAATAAAGATGAATTATGAGTAATTCAAATTGTACTTTATTAGCAATAGCAGTAAATCAAAAATAAAAATTAAGTGTAATTTAAATACATTACTTGTATATTAGTAGTATATTTAAAATATATTAAAAGTATATTTTTAATATAATTCTATGACAGACAATATAAAAATGAAGCTGTTGAATATTACATTTAAAAGTATACTTTAAGTATACTAAGTACAACTTGAAGTTGTTCCAAAAAAGTATGGTGAAGTATACTAAAAGTTGTAATTTTATACAACTTAAGTACTACTAAAGTATACCAGGTATAAAATTAGTTGTTCCAAAATAGTACAGTTTAAGTACATCAATCAAAGTATGCTGAAGTTTGTTAAAATTTAGTATACTAAAGCATACTTTTTTTTTATTTGGTTGTGCGCGGTTCGGGGGTGCGTTTTTGCCAGGATTTTTAATTTTTATTTATTTATTTATTTATTTTGCGTGGTTTTGCTTCTCCGAAACGGACAGATGTTACGTCTGCCGCGCTCCTTCTGGGTGCGGGAGGGTAACATCTTCAACTCCATTTGTTAAAACTGCAGGGCGAGTTAAGTTTAATTCTTCGCAGCGGCGGAGCCGCGTCCGCATTGGTTGTGCAGCGCACTGCGCATGGATCTAATTAACTTCTGCACCTTTATTTATTTCCTCAAAATAAACTGCTGGCTCCTCTGTTTAGACTATAAATGGATTAAAACAACGTTGCATCCTCTTTAGTTTTCTCTGTTCTGTACTGGAGACTGGAGTTAAAGGCGCCATTTCAACTAAAGGTTTGCAATGAGCTTCCTAACCAAGGTGTCCTGTCCATCACTCTTCAACACGCTGTCAGCTCCCGGTCAGAAAGACGCATTTAGTTCAGTGTCCATGAGATGATATTCAGAAAGGATTTTTTTTATTGATTGATTTTAGTTGCCTCTGCGATGAACTCTTTGCGTAAAGTCTGTCATGTCTCCATGTGAACCAGTCAAAGGTGTTAATTAAAACCTGTCAAATGACAGAGGGGCTTAAAAAATAACCAAATATTTAGTTTGGTTATTTAAAAAAAAAATATATATATATAATCGATTAGATAGATAAATACATGTGCACACACACATTTTAAATTTTGCCCCCCCCCAGAGGTAGTCCTGGCCCCCTTTTGCCCCCCCCCCCAACTTTAAAAGTCTAGCTCTGCCACTGAGGCAATCATACCAACGTTTCCAAAAAACAGATGAGTATCTTACTGCCCTATATTTAACTTTAGTCAACAACAGGATAATACTATACACTGCTGTTGCTAGTCTGAAGGAACTGAGTGAGGATGGGTAGGGAAGAGGTGCTCAGCTTGTACACTGCAGTACCCAGGAGGAGCGGGCTGGGGGGTTGCATTTTACTAAAAGTAGATATCGAAATCAAGTGTCAAAGTAAAATAAGAAAAAAAAATCTTTATTGGCATTACAGCAATGAAACTTGTCTCACAGTTGCTGAGTGTTTGAGGTTTGAACGCTTCTTGCCATCACAGTATTCTTCAGTTTGTTCCTTATTGGTAAAATTAAAGGATTACTTTTAATTTTTACTCAACTATACAGAGGACTCCATGTTTCAGGTTTTCCACATTTACTTATATTTAGCCAAGTGTTTTAACAGGTGAGTTACATATGGGGAAAAAAAAATCTGGCCTTATTTTATATCTCATTGCTACAAATAAATATCAGAAAACTGTTCATAGATGAAGACTATGATCACAAACACAAACACAACCACCAGTCTGCAACCAAATACTGTAAAACAGAAACTGCTCAGTCCCGTTAAGTTCAGGACTAAATTTGATTGAAATTTTGTGTTTGAGGCCCCAAAGGAACACTCTGCAAACCTCCATGAACCAAAAGAACAATGCAGAGGAAACTGGCTCAGATTTCCTCCACAACTTGTGAAACACTGAAGTTGTGAAGTTGCACAGAAAGCCAGTTCTTTGTTTTCACCACTACTGAACATGGGTCCATGGCAAACAGAAGGCATCATTTTTGGGGGACTAGTGGGTATAGAAATAACTCTTCTGTTTAATTCTTAGACATTTTATCAGATAAATGAGGTGACAGATTTGTCTCTTGCAGAAGGCATGGCGGAGGCTGGAGCCCACCTGACCTCCACGGTTGTTAATGAGCAGCCATCCATCTTTGAAGTGCTGGCCCAGGAGTCTCTGATGGAGGCTGTCAGACCTGCTCTGAGACATGCAGTCAAGGTGAGGCTTCCTGTTGGTAGATACCAGCCCATATGAAGCTTTCCTTTTCTTTTTACCCTGCTCCTCCAACTGTCTCAGGTTCTGACTGAATCCAACCCGTCCCACTTTGGACTCATTTGGAAATGCTTTGATGAGCTCTACCTGCTGATGGATGTCCTCCTGCAGAACCACTTCCTGTCCCAGTGCAACGCCTCCTTCTCTGAGAACTTCTATGGACTCAAGAGGGTCTCAGGTGGGCGGCGCCTTCCTGCTCGCCTGGGCTTGCACAAGAGTTCCCATTGGTGGTCCCTGCTGCTCTTGTGCCTGGTGCCATACCTGCGGGCCAAGCTGGAGGTGATGCTGGCCCGGCAGAGAGAGGAGGAAGACTTCTCCATCAGGCTGCCACAGACCAGGAAGCAGAGGTTGTACCGAACGGCGGTGGCAGCATACCCGTATGTCAACTCAGCCTGGCAGTCCTGGATCTTCTGCCAGCAATTGCTTTTTGTTTTCGGAGTCAGCAGGACACACAGTCCCCTGCTGTGGCTGGCCAATGTCAGACTGGCACGGCTCACCACACAAGACCTCAGAGATTCACAGTGGAAAACCAGCTGCAGTCCCAGGCCGGCCAATGGGAGGTTGGTGAACTCTTCAGGGTTTTCAGGATTAGGGCTGGCTATTATGGAGATTGAATTTTATTTTAATATTTTGAGGTACAGTTGTGATAACAATAAAACTTATGATAAACTATTACTTCTATTTTAGGTCTCTGTATGCCTGGCACTCTATGGCACAGCATTCATAGCACTAAAAACACAAACATTGGAAAAACATTCCCATTTTAGCCATTCTTCTTCAGGACACTACCTACTGAAATAAGTGTGATGTATATCACTAAATTGCTTTTAATCATATAAATCTACTGATAGTTATTTAAGTCCTGTGGAAGAAACAGTGGAGAAAGTAGTAAAAAATAACACTTACCCTAATACTGTCAGTTTTCTTTTCTATTTAACATTTTCAATTGAAATCTATTGAAAAACAATAAATCAAAACTCTTTTATAATACACCACAAATGATAATACAATAAATGCCCACCTATGCAGGAGGGAAAGGTCATGTATGCAGCTGGCAGAGGAAGGGAATTTTTCACACAACAAATACAAACTTGAAAAAAGTTAGAATACAGAAATTTACAGAGGGATTCCTTCTGGGAAAGAGCTGAACCATTAAACAAGTATCATTGTTTGAAAAAGTATAGCAAATGTTTTTTATTTTCAGAAAAAGGGTACACTAGC